TATTATTATCATCATCTTCACGTTATCTTAATGAATGCTTTTAAGATTAAAAAAAATATTATTATTTTTCAAATACAAAAAACTACTTTTGCAAAAAAATAATTCTAATATAAAGTTAGCATGAATATCAAAATATTAAATTTTAAAAAGTTATTTTTGGTTACGTTGCACTTCAATTTATTTCTGCAGTATTTATTATAAATAATATATTTGTAATTATACTTTATATATTTCAAGTTTATGTTTTAAATATCAGACATGTCACATAATGTAATTAAACGTATTTTTCTTTCATGATTGACATTTTATTTTCATTCTAAGTCCTATTTTTTGAATAAAGACATCAAACTTTTTTTACACTTTTTTATGTTTTACTCATATTTTAGTATTTTTCTCTAAACTATTTTGACTTTTAATTTTTAAAAAAAAAATTAGAAAAATGAGAAAATTTTGAATAATAAAGGGAAAGGTGAGAGGTCTTATATAAAATTAGATTAATAAAACATTCTATGTATTTATTTTATCCATATTTTTTTAATATAGTTTAAAATATTTATGTTTTCCTATTTTATTATGTAGATCAATATACAAAAAAATTGTCGTATTCATATTAAAAAGTTGAAGAAAAAATAATGAGTGTGAATCGTAAAAATAGTGAGATGAAAAATAATAATTTATAAAGTATAGCTATGAACATAACGGTTGTAATAATAATAATAATAATAATCACATTAAAAATATATCGTTTTTTGAGCAATTGATTGGGGAGTAGAAAAAGTTTGAAGAAAATGAGAATAGTTCGAAGAAACTGGAAGGAACTGGAAGAAACTAAAAGTCGGTTACACCCTAAGAGAGGGGTGAATTAGGGTGTTTGAAAGTTTTTCGTAAAAAATAAAAACTTAAGCGCAAAGTAGTAGCCGAAAAAAAGCAAGAAAAGTATAAAAGAGAAAAGTACAACACAATCGATTTTATACTGGTTTGGAAACTCCCTACTCCAATACCTCGAGGCTCCTTCTCAAGTATTTAACTTCCACTAGCTTGTTTAGCTTCACTAAGAATACTCAAACGAGGTTTGGCAAACAACCCTTTCCAATAAGCAAATTAGATTTTACAACGGCTATCTCAACCGTTTACAACCGAAGATTTAGAGGATATCTTCAACCTTACAATGAGGATTTAAAGGTTATTCACACCTTTTACAAAACAATGAAAAATGATTGTTGCTTCTCTACCAAATAATAATCAAAATTAGTTTGGTAGGAGAAGAACGAAGTATTAAATCACCAACAACAAAAGCCTATATGCAATATATGAAATAATGAATAACAAATTCCCTTATGTGTGAGCGTATTAAAATAATGAAAGCTTTATACTCAAAAGAGTAAGAAAATTATGAACAAAGCTTTAAGAAACACTCAATAATAGAGAAATATACTTTAGATATAGTTGGGAAGTTGTTGTATCATAAATGAGACTTTGAGGGGGTTTATATAGGAGTTTGGAAGGGTAAAAGTTGGGTTTTTAACATTGAAGACCATTGGGGAATGATTTGGGGTAATTTGAATTTAGATTGAAAATCAGCTACAGTGATCACAATGGTTCCGGTATCCTTTACGGCAGGGGTAGTAGCGTCCGGTACCCAAGTACCGTGACAACAGTACAACCTACCGCCAGGGGCACCATGTAACCATGAAATCCCATCGGCTGTGGCGGAACCTGGCTTCAAATATCCAGGCCTTCCGTTCTGCTGCCTACCGGCGATACCCTGGTACCCTAAACACGTTAGGGGGTACCGTGTCACTTCCAAGTGAAACGTACAACGGTGCGATCACTTGGTTACCGTTGGTACCCTGGTATCGTGTAACGGTAGCCAGGTACCGTAGGACCTGTGATATTATTTTTCAAAACTTGATTTTTATGTTCCGTTTTCAAAATAACCTCAACTAAAAATATATTTGACATTTTAGAAATAATATTTTGAGTGAAAGGGCATAAGTAAATCATTAAATAAATCACTACCTTTACATAATTAATTCTAAACCCACAGGAGTATCCCTCGGTGATGCTGATCAAGTTATGAGAGGTTTGGCGTTTGATTTCTTTTTCCAAATGACGTTAGTAGAATTGGAAGACTTATTTGGCACATCAAAATGGTTACAGGGTACGACATTCAAGGCCAACAGAAACTGTAAGTTAAGAGTTTACGCCCTAAAGAACATACTTTTAGTAGATAATAACATGTGGGATTTGGTTCCACGGTGTGCTCATTCCCATATTAGTAATTATGCGTGGTTATTTCTTAAAAAAAATCATGCAAACAGGGTCTTTCAAATTTATAAGGCTCGACTGGTTGTTAATGACAAGTGTTAATAAGTAGGCATTGATTATGACGATACATTCAGTCCCATTGTTAAATGTACCAATATACACATAGTTTTGAGCCTCTACGTTTCACGCTCATAGCTTATTCACGAGTTAGAACTTAAAATACATTCTTACATGGAGACCTTAGCGAGAAAGTTTACATGTCTCAACTCTCTAGATTTGTGGACCATGACCACCCATCTTATGTTGCATGTTAAAGAAATCTCTGTATGATCTCTAATAAATGCACTGAACTTAGAATCAACGTTTCACCACTTATTTATAGGGTGTTTGAGAGTGATTAACTTGTGGACAAAATAATTTCAACAAAAGCTGAAAGTAAAAGCACTTTATAACTGTTTTTCCGAAATACTCGTAGTATTCTGTGTACTAAATAGTGGTGGAGAAAAGCTGAAGCCGACATGTCAAACAGAGTAAAACCACTATTACTTACTCCCTCTGTCCTAAAATTAACTTCCCATTTGACTTTTCACGGTCTACAATGTGCCACTTTGACCATCAATATCTCAAATTTTATATAAATATATTTTATAAAAATTACATATTTCAAAACTATGTTTCAAAATGAATCTATTGCTAATAAATTTATATGAAAATTCAATATATTTTTTTCGTAATAAATGGTCAAAGTTTAAAAGTTTGACTACAAAAGTCAAACTGGAAAGTTAATTTTAGGACAGAGGGAGTAAAACAGAAGTTAAATTCTTAAACCAGCGCACTGCCAAACACCCTTTTAATATCACGTGGGTTTCATAGTACCACTATTGATACCTCTTTTTTGTTTATAAAAAGGGAAGGAAATGACTTACTTGTTATTATCAATGTTTTGAAAACCGGACTGGGCATCGACCCGGAGTAGCAAATGGGTCAAGGGCTAACCGGTCGAACCGGTCAACTCGGGGGTCAACGACCCGGACAAATATATGTAAATATTAATATTTTATATCACTCCGTATATTATTAGATGACATATATAGTAAATAAAATTATTTTAATTTATATTTTTTTTACTTCTACACCTAGATTTTAGTTTCATTGAACATATACTCCATACTATTTTACATGTTTTGTTTTTATTCTATTCTATTTTCATTATTATTACGGACTACAAGTTAATAGTGAATATCGTAGAAGTACTCATTTATCAAAAATATAAAGACTACATATTATTGACATTTTAAAACTTATATTTAGTTGATTATTTTTTTAAAAAAAATAAAAAATGAAATACATTAAATTATTATCAATATTTTAAAGATGAAAATACTTTGTAATATTTTAAATATAGGTTTTATTATTACTTAAATAAAAATAAATAATACTGACTTTTAGCTTTGTACTAATTTAAAATTTCATAAAATAAATAAATAGTAAACTATGATAAACACATAGAGCGTTCTCTATATTTAATAACTAGGATTATTTTTAGATTACTATGTATTATCTAAATATTTTAAAGTAATATATACCGTGTTGCATGGACTATATAACAAGTTTAGCATTAGCTCAGGTGGATAAAGCTCATCTTAAGAGATCATGGGACAAGTAATATATACTGTGTTTGACGGCTTCTGAGACTCAGTGCTTCGCACCATCATTTCATAATTTTTTTAAAGAGTTTTGTATGATTGATCTCGGGAATCTAAATGGCATTGAGGTCAAACATGCATTTATCTTAATAATCAAACGCCATTCAAATACTAGCTCGGACTAAAACAAAAAACTATAAACCTAGCAACATCAATGCCAAGTTAAGTGATATTATACGGGAGCTTGTTACATATAGGATTTTGTATTGCAACTTAGCATCTGCATTATTGTACCTTACTTTAACTTGTCATGATCAATCATATGTAGTCCAACAAACTGACTTATTTGTTCACGCCCCACGGGAACAACATTTTTAGAATCTTAAATGGATCTTATGATATTTAAAAGGCACATTATCTCACGGTCTTCCTTATCCCCCCTCTAAGGCCCTTGAGTTGAAAAAATTAACTTCCAATTTTTTACAACTTCTTCTAGTTTCTTTCAACTCCTTCATGATCATGTACATTACCAAAAAATATAGTAATGTGCACATGCATGTACAGTGCCACATTACAACCACATAATCATAATGTGAAGTTCTATTTCGGAAAAAACATGAAAGTCCTATTTTAGTACCTTTTTCTATGTTTTAGTCCTATTTAGAGTGATTTCTATAAGTAATACTACGGGTAATTAACAACGTGGTCCTTTTATGATTGAGATGTATTCCTAAATAGTCTTCGTCAAAAATGCCTATTAAATAATAATTAAATGAAAGATATTTTGATATTTTATATCATCTAAACAATGAATAAGTTCTCAAAATGATCCTTTTAACTTAAGTGGGTGGCTCTTAGATGAATGGATTCAGCTCGAGTAAGTTCATGGGCTCAATTTCAGAAAAATATTTATTTAGAAAATCAATTAGATAAATACTTAATTATAAAGAAATTTGAAGAACATATTTAAACTTAGATATTAGAAAATATCAAAATACCTTTTATTTAATAGATATGTAATAGACATTTTTGACAGAGACCATTAGCTAACATCTCTATTCCAAAATTTACAAGAACATAGTTAAGAAAAAAATAAATAATTAAAAAAAATAAAATCCACCGAACATCTCTCTCTGATCTGTGAGCATTCATTAGAAGCTCATATGAATCTTCACTTGCAACTTGTTCAACAGAAATTCCATTGCGATCTCGGAGAAATGCAGGGGACGCGGCCTGGTTCGAACTGAAATGCAGTCCAACTCGCTGCCCTTCTCTCTGATTCCACTCGCGTTGTTCAATGGCGTTGAATTGAGCGAAGGCGGGTTTGAGCTTTCCAGGTATTTGTTCTTGGGCTCCCTGCTCTTCTCATCCCCAGGCGGCGGTGCCGGAGACATGGACTTGACTAAGGTCGGAGAGAAGATCCTCAGTTCCGTTCGCTCTGCCCGATCCCTTGGCCTTCTCCCAGCTCCGCCTTCAGATCGCCCTGAGGTAGTATGATTCATGCACGCTGGTGAATTTCAGCTGCAATTTTTTCTTGTTTATAATTGGTCCATTTGGAAAACCCCTTCTTGAGCTGGGAACAAGGAGAAGAGGGGAAGTACGGGAAACCATTTGGTCTTAATTGATCAAGTGACAACTGGGGGGACGTAATGAGATGAAATTCTTGGACAATGCATAGTAACTTCTAGTCCTGTGTTTATTGATGAAATTCTGAATAGCCTGGAAGTTGCCATGACATGCCTGCTCACATACCATCAATTACCCTTTTCTAAAATTGAAAATTAGGGGATGTTTCTTTATCTGGAGGATCATCATTTCTATAAGTTCTGTTCTCACAGGTTCCAGCACAAGCAGCAGCAGCGGCAGCTGCTGCACGTGTTCTTGCTGGACTACCTCCACATCAAAGGCATAATCTCTCATCAAGCTCTGAAGAATTAAGTTCAATATATGGGAGCATATCTCCCCGCCAAATGTTAGATGATCTCGAGGAAGAATTTTATGATGAGGTTCATTTTTCACTTCTAATGATCTAAGTTAGAAAACGTCCTTCCGTGCTTTTACCTTGCACATCTTTTTGGTATCATTAAGTCATAGTTGTTATATTATTTATTCATCATAATTCCATGTTAGAATAACTGATATACGGCCACTTGCTTGATATAAACTAATGAACTAAAGTTGACATTAATGCCTTGCCTGTTTTTTGAAATGTTTGGTATTATTATTAGGTCATATATGTTCCAATTATACTCATTTCCCTATTTTTTATATACTGATTTGGGCACAATGATGTTAATTATAATTTCACCAACTTTCTTGTGCCTCTTTTAGGATTTTGATCCGGTAAGACATGTTTTGGAGCATATTCCAACTGATGATAATGAAATGATATATTTTGAAGAAAAGGTATAATTCTATGATTTAGATTTCCTTTTGGGGGGGATTGAGTTTTTCATAATATTCTCTTTGACTTTAGGGAATTGGGTTTCTATTACCTACCTTATTTTCTTTTTTTCAATTATTTTCCCAATATCTGCTTTACAATTCTCTATGTTACTCACGTTGTCCTATAAAAAAGGTTCTACATTTTGTTTTTGTTTGTCCCAAAAAAGGTTCCACCTTTTTTCTAAAGAAAGAGTTGTGTGGTTCATATTATCTCCCTCTGCATAAATCTCAACCATACAACTTTCAACTTTTGTAAAAGGCATGCTTTGTCAAATGTGGAACCTTATTCCGGGATGGAGGGAGTGTTCACTATCCTTTAGAAATGTGCTTTGGTCCTCTAGTTATACTTCATTGCTGAGTTTGGACCCATGCTTCTTTGAACTGCAAAATTCACCTCGAGTTGTGCATAACCTAAAAAAGTCTTAGGAGATGGTTAAGGTCTGCATTATCTATATACATTTAAGTGATTTCATTTTGTTGCGAGTATGACAAAATCCATTCCTGACAGCATTAGAGGAGTCCATCTACTGAGTACCATGGGACCAACATTGCAACTTTTTTTTTACATAGTTGGGGGTGGCATTTTCAACTATGAATCTTAAGGGTATAACGGCGAGTGTATAGTTTGAGGACTGAAAAGGTGATGATGATATTTGTTACAGGCTGCTTTTAGATTAGCACAACTCGATAGAATTGCTGAACGCCTTTCACGCCATGTTATGGAGCACCATGAAGTCATGGGTATGAACTTTTTCATTATTCTTTGCTTCTTTTAACACTCTAAGATTCTTTAGATACCCCCTCTATCCCTAAATAAAAGTAGCGCTTTCTTATTTGGGATGTTCCAAATGAATGTTCACTTCTTTACTTTCCTATCAAGGAAATAAATATATAGCATACAAAATTTTCCTTCCTCTAAACAATTTTTAACCACTTCATGTTTAACACTTTTTTAAACTCTGCGAAGTCAAACTCTTACATTATTTAGGGACAAAGGAAGTATTCCCCTTGCTCAGAGAAGCATATTCGATAACAAATACATTTGTTGAGTGAACAATGGAATGTGAAGACACATTATCCATGGGGCACACAATCCTATGATGAGTCACAGGGAAAACACATTATCAGTTTTCCCTGTATTTTCTAGTAAGCGTTGAATGATGAGTCACTTGGGAATTGCTATAAGGAAAGTTTGAAATTAGAATGTATTATGATTATATCTAACCTCTAGGTTTTTTTGTGGATAATTTGAATGGTACATTAGTTATATTCACCAGACCTTTTTTGTTCTTGATGCATATTGATAAAATTTAGGATAGGGTTTAGATCATTAGACTGGGCAATAAGACACTTGGGCTGAAACACATTAAAAGATTGAATCCAATTGATTGCTTAGTTCAACTCAAGAGCTTATATAACTATTATTTTTCTCACACTTTTTCGATGTGGGATACTATTTAACACTCCTCCTCAAATAGACGACCGAGTCATCTTGAATCTAACCGGTTGGCCACTTGCAAATGGACTCCCATCCCCTTGATTTTTTTTGAGCGCCAACACCTAAAGGACCACGAGCCGCTGGGCATGGACTTCCAGACGAGCAATCGTGTTAAACAGGCCACATGCCGTTGGGTACATACTCCATACAGACAACTGGGCTAAAGACAAACGGGCCGCTATGAATGAAGACGAACACCTTAACAAACGAGGTGGGCCAAAACCTGCTTCAATACCATGATAAAATTTAGGATAGGGTTTGGATCATTGGACTAGGCAATAAGACACTTGGGCTGAAGCACATTAAAATGAATCCAATCGATTACTTAGTTCAACTCAAGAGCTTATATACCCATTATTTTTCTCACACTTTTTCGATGTGAGATACTCTTTAACACATATAAAAGTAAGTATCTATTTTACAAGTATCGTTTTTATTTTACAAGTATCATTTTTACAAGTATCATTTTTATTTTACAAGTATCATTTTTACAAGTATCGTTTTTATTTTGTTTCTTGAGCTATCATTAATAAGATTCATCTTTTTATAAAATGATTCGTCCTTTTATAAAATGGAAGCACATAAGTTTTTGCTTTCAATCTTTTATAATGTGCTTGTATTGGCAGTGAAAGGAATGAATCTTGTTAGGGAACTGGAAAGAGACTTGAAGGTTGCAAATGTTATTTGCATGGTAAGCAACTTCTAGTTGTATGCATCTTATTGGATTTTTTAAAATTTAAAAAGCACTCAAATTGTCTCAGTAAACTGATTGTATTACATGCCTTTTATTTATTTATTTACTTACTTACTTCCTCTAATCCAATTTAGTTGCAACACTTGCTTAATGTTTATTCATGATTGCCAATGCACAAATTTTAAAACTGATATCTTGAATTACGTTTTAGAAAAATTATAAATAACTGATATTTTTACAGTTTTTACCGAGATGAAACACATAAGATCCCACATGATTATATTCTTATTTATGTATCAATCACTAAAGATGGTCAAATAAGGGTGTGGGAAAAATGTAAAGTTTTCAATGTTGCAAATAAAAAAATGAAGTATCATTTATCTAGGTATTTATTTATTAATTAATTACATAAAAGGATTGGATTATGGTCTTTCCACGTAAAATTTGGCTCTACGTATTTTTATTTTTTTGTATGAAGGTGTAATGTCTACTAATTCTAGACAATTAATTAACACTTTAAGTTTAGTGCCACCGAACCCATAATAGTTTGGATTAATTTGGTGGAAATGATAATGATTAAGGAATTGGGTTTCAATTGGTTATGTTCTCACTTTGTCAACCCTTTTATAGGGTCCGTTTGGTACACGGATTTGGCAGAATTGGAATTGAATTAAGAGTTGAAATTCTATGGAATTAAATTAGATGAAATTGAATTATCCAATTCCAATTCAATTTTGGTTTTACCAATTCCAAATTCATATATTTTTGTGCTACCAAATAGTAGAATTGGAATGGTTGTCTCCAATTCCAATTCCATAGTTTGAATTTCGTGTACCAAACGGAGCCATAAGGGAATTGGTACTAGTTGATTTTGTAGTTAATGTGTTATGCCTTCCTTTTTTATAATGCTAATATTGTCACGAAGCTTGATTACCTTTTCCATATTAGGTTTTCATCAACCATTTTTTTAAAATCTTCACAGAACGGGCGGAGACACCTTACATCGTCAAGGAATGAAATATCAAGGGATCTTATCGTGCACAGGAATTCTAAAAAGAAACAAGCACTTTTGGTATTTTAATTTTCTTTCTCCCTCAAAGGCCTACTAGACTTTTTTATACTTCTCTACTTAAAAGATCTCTACTCCCTCATTTAGGGGGGGTTTGGATCCATGAACACACACACATATAATTTTATCGTTTTACTTCATATGCACACAATCACACACAAATTTTCAAGCTCTTATAGATTCAACAATTTGAATTTCATGTCTCGCATGCCAAGGTATGTCTTTGACTATTAGTGCATTCAGTTTTTTTTAATAAAAATTGTTGAAAGTTGAGATTTTTTAAATATACGATGAGATAAATTATAATAAAATTTTATATTACATAAATATAATCATATTTAAATAGTGCAAAAGTCAAAGTTGAGATTTTGACTACGTAAGCATTCACTTTTTATTAGTATTTACTATTTAGTAAAATTTATAAAAAGATGAGATCTTGAAAATATACAATGAGATAAATATAATAACATTTTACATAGAATGATTACTTTTCATGCATAAGTATTAAGTAGTAATTCTTTGTTCACTTGGACTTGGGCTGTAGCTTTCAACATCTAATATTTTCCCGTTTCACGTGCATTTTTCATATTATTCACGTGCATTTTTCATATTATTCACGTGCATTTTTCATATTATTCACATCTAATAGCTTACAATGAATGAAAAATTATTCACGTGCATTTTTCATATTATTTTTATTATAATTATGATTATGATTATTAAAATAAATGTGTTAAATGAACACTGTGTAACTTGTAAATGTACATATAATGAATATATATAATAACTTCGTACATCCAGATTTATAATATATGAACTCTCAAACACTGACAATGATGAATTTTTATCAGAAATAAGATTTTTTACACTTAATTGGATGGTTTTTTGATTTTAATAATGTACTTCGTAGTGATTTAAACCCGATTTAAATTATTCTTTTGTATAATTAAAAATAGAGTAAAATGCGTCACATCTACAATTTCTAGCGGAAAATTAATATGCAATTTCTAGCGGAAAATTAATATGCTTAGACCCAGGGTCATTTTTGTGAGACAGACATGTGATTATTTTAGTGTATAAAGTGCGGTGTGAGACTATTTTTATTTGATAGAGCAAACATGTGCTTATTTATTCAAATTTTCCTTTTAATTGACATTAATAAAAATATTGTTTCTACCGTCCCACTATTTTTAGGACATGTGTTAGTGACATGCCAATTAAGAAACAAAAAATTGTGTGGTTGATGTTAATGTTAATAAGTAAAAATAATAATGCAGTGAGTCACACAAATATTACTAAATATGGCTTGATACAAAAATAGTGAGATATACTAAAACGTACAAAGAGAAAGAAATTTTGAAACAGTTGGAGTATAAAACAAAAATAAGAAATTTTAAAAGTATGATATTTATTTCAACTCCTTTCAATATTTTTTTCTAACTCCTAACTCCTTTGCGTTTCTTCCAACTTCTTATAGTTTTTTCAACATCCAACTCTCTTTTTCCAACCAGAAAAATAGAGCCTAAATAGAGTCAATGTTGGACATGTGAATGATGCAAAAGCTAAAGTGTTTCAATTTGAAATAGAGGAAGTTTATAATAATGACAATATTTGTAGTAAATGTTTTGCGTGTATAGGTATACATTTGCATTAATACTAATCTATTGTAGAGGTGGGGTAACATCAAGGGCCTGCCAGTATTCCTTTCCTGACGATATTGTACTAATCGATGGGACTCGTCCAAGGCTCAATGACAAGTTGAAGTTGTGGTGTTAGTCACTGGAATCTAGAGGATTCAGACTAAGCAGGACTAAGACAGAGTATATGGAGTGTTGCTTTAGTGGTTGGGTGATGAATATAAAAGTGGAAGTTGGGATTGATTCACATGTTACGTTTCAGTATCTTGGTTCGATCATTCGGGCAGATGGGGGGGGGGGAGATAGACAGGGATGTTGTTCATTGTATTGGAGCCGCTACGTGGAAGCTAGCTTTAGGGTCCTTTGCAATTAGAAGATTTGAGCAAGGATGAAAGGAAAGTTCTATCGATCGGTGGTCAGGCCAACTATGCTTTATGGAGCGGAGTGTTGGGCTCTTAAGAAGGTCCATGTTCGTCAACAACATGCGGCAGAGATGCGGATGCTGAGGTTGGATACGATTCAGAATGAGGTTATCAAGAGACGGGTGTGAGTGGATCCTGCGGAGGATAAGTTGCGAGAGGCCAGGTTGAGATGGTTTGGTTACGTAAAGCAGCGTAGCGTTGAGGCCTCGGTGTGGAGATGTGAGAGACTTACGATAATGGGTTGGGGTGGATGGAGGGTTAGACCTAGGAAGAGTTGGAAGGAAGTGATCAAGCATGACTTAGGACTTCTAACCCTTACCAAGGATATGACCTTAGATAGGAGCGCCTGAAGATCTAGGATTAAGAAAGTAGGGTAGTCCCTTGAATCAGTATCTTTTTGTTGTAGTTTTTTTGTGTCTTTTGTCTGCACTTTTTTTTGACATTAATTGCTGTTTGTTTTTCTTGCATGATATTTGCCTTCCTTCCTGGGGGTCTCTTGGAAACAGCCTCTCACCCTCCCCAGACCCTACTTTTGTGGGATCCTACTGGGTTGTTGTTGTATATGCCATAATATTATAAATAAAATTAAAAATTCGAATACATACAAATTTTTAAGAACTAAGATAACAATACTATATTGTTAGAAAAGACAAGTTTATACAGTAAAAAGAGTTAAAAAAATACTATAACACGATTTTTATCACATTGCATTCTTACTAAGGTACATGAATTTGAAAAACCCTTATCTTAGTAAGTCAATTAGATTGGATTTGACCCATTTTTAGCAGGTTATTTCGGGTTCTGATGCCTTCATATTTGATTTAAAAAAATATTTGTACAAAACTTGATATTTTCGGGTTGGATCTGAGGTAAAAAAAGGCCGGGTCAATTTTTGGCAAGTCTTATTCTACCCCCTTAGTATAACCATTTCATCACAAATATGGAATACATTTTCTTTGCCAAACAACTATGCAATATTATTAGTGGGTTGATTTCGTCATGGAAAAAGCTCAATAGGATTTAACAGCTTACAAATGTATAGGATATGATCCCAATCTTAGCAGAGCTCCGTCATGCACTGGACATGCAAGCCACCCTTGAAACTCTAGTGGGGGAAGGAAACTTCTCTAAGGTCCATTTTGATCTAATACAATCCTTAAACAGCTTTGCTTCCCCCCACACCCCGCTTCACCCACTATCTCATCCCAAATATTTCTTAGAGTAATTTTTTCTAAGTGTATTGGCTGACCAATTACCCATGCTTGCAGGCATTCCAAGTACTCTCGGAGTATTTGCAAATTCTGGATAGTTTGTCACAACTTTCAGCAGTACAAGAAATGAGCCATGGTGTTGAGGTAGGGTTAACACACAATAGCTTTTAAGGGAGTCGGCATAAAGGAACAGTTCTTCTCTTTAGCAAATCCTATCCAAATCCAGTTTTGTGATTAAATCTTGAGTGAGAGCACACGTTTTGCTATCTCTATGGCATTGCTGTTTTTTCCACGGCTAACATGCTTCTTGAATTTGCAGGTTTGGTTGGGGAAGACACTTCAAAAATTGGATGCACTTTTATTAGGAGTATGCCGGAATTTCAAAGAGGAGAGTTATATCATTGTTAGTTAATCACCTTGGTTTTTGACAAAATTGTTACAAAAGTTCTTCTACATCAATAATTTCCCGTTTCTTCTAAAATTTCCTCATCTTGAAATATCACTTGTAACAAGATAACCTGACCTTGCATTTTTTGTTGAAAAATGGTTCATCTTGGATTCTTTTCTTACACTTCCCTCCGGCGTATGATTGGACAAAGTTTGCTCTGGATGTGATTCCATAGTCTGTCTGTGAAGAAGTAGATGCATGCATTTGAAAAACTGTTATTATGTTAACACATGTTATTCATCTTCAATCATATTCAAATATATTACTTTTAGATAGAGCCTGTTCTTGTGCTCAATATGTTAGACTGTTAGTACTTTCTTTTGTTTTATTCTTGCATGCTTGTACACTGGAATGGCTTGACTTGATCATGCATTGCTACTAGTAATGTAAGCAGTATGTTAATAATATTCTTATTTCATGACTAATTTCATATGTTGAGGATGTGATATGCTTTAAATTTATATATAGTGTGCATATATGTTTTTTATTATATGATGCAGTTAAACCTGGTTGCACATTACTATCTATGAGCATTATATGCTGATATGCTATAGCTATTTTGTAATGTGTTCCATATCATTCACAGGTGGTTGATGCTTATGCCCTAATTGGGGATGTTTCCGGTCTTGCTGAAAAGATACAAAGTTTCTTTATGCAGGAGGTTATCTCTGAAACACACAGTGTCCTGAAAACTATTGCGCAAAAGGTATGTTTATTTGCTTTCTTTTTCTTACAGGTTTTCCTCATCTTTTTTTTTATAAGCAGTAATAGGTGAATACACAATCTGTTGGTTTGATTGGACTGGTTTGCTAACATGGATATTATTACTTTTACTTTCCCGGGATATATTACGCTCCATGCCATTATCGCTTGGATGACCTTTGTCCCTTCACTACTGTATACTCCGTAATATGCTTCCCTTGCATGATAACGTCTACTACTTATTGCAGGACTTTGAAAGTACCCATGAGCAAGGTGAAAGGTATAGTTTCATGTCTTTTGCATGATAACATCTAGTACGCATCATTTTGATAAGAAACTTTCTGGTTTATCTGTATCTAATTTATCAATTTTCCACATTCAGGCTCACATACAGTGATCTGTGCCTTCAGATGCCCGAATCTAAATTTAGGCAGTGTTTGTTGGCAACCCTAGCTGTACTATTTAAGTTAATGTGTTCATATCATGCAATCTTGAGCTTCCAGCTGGATGGGGTAAGCTTGATCATTCTTATGTTCTATTTGTCTCACAAATTACAAAATCTTATCATTTCTATTTGGCCTTATC